GCTGAATGAAATTCAGCCATCATTCATTTAATTATTCACAGCTGTTCTTTTCTTACCGTGACACGATCACCTGTGTGGGTTCACCGCGGCGTGCAGAGCCTTTAATCACTTTCACGTGCCCCACGAGAGTGAAGCTCTTCGTGTGAGAGGTTCTTACATGAGTTTGTGAACAGTGTCATCACTGAAATGAAAAACATGAAGGTATTTGACATAAATCTTTCATTCATATTGTCAGGATGAATTCTTCAGGGGTTATGACTGACATCATGCCTGACCTCTGCCCTGCCAGCATGTTCTCATGAAATATTTGCTTCACTAATGCTGCTTAACACCCTTCCTCCACCCTTTGTCCATGATTGATGTGTCCAATCAGAAGCTCTGATCAATAATTCATGTCTTTCTCAAGGGAAGACAATGATTTTTTTTGTTTTATTTCTCTTTTTTGATGCTGGATCGTCCAACCAGAGTCACATTTTGAGCTCATGTAACATTTCGCTCTGGTCACATTGCTCTGGGGCTTTAATCTTCTCTGCTTCACCTTTGTTAATTGAATTTGTCTGGTCCAAGGACTGAGGAAATCGTCAGGTTAAAATGTATCTGGTAAGAATTGAAGCAGCAGGATTGGGTGAAAACACACAGATGGAGAGACAGAGAGAGTCGCGGGAGACAGAGGAATGTTGATGGGGTGAAAAGATGATAATAGAAGGATGTCGATGCGTGGACCACAGGCTGGAAGAGAAGGGATGAGAGGAAGAGGAGGGCGAAAGATTGTGAGACAAGTACAGAGGAAGAGAAAAAGACTATTTTATCTGCATTGATGACATTTTTATTCCTGTTTTTATGCACTTTAAGGACAATTCTATCTGTGCTTTTATGTGATTTGTGCCTGATGATGTTTCTGTCTGCTGTGGCTGAATAGTTTCACTGAGGACAATCAGTGATGACCCACAGGGTTTATTAATAGCGCAATGAATACGATTTTTTTTTTTTTGAAAAAGTAGAGAATGGACAAAGGAGCAGTGCAAAAAGGATTAAAACCCTGTGGAAAAGAGCCACAGAGGAATGAGTGTGCAGTGTGTTTGTTTAAATGAAGCCATTTACACCAGGCTTCTCCACAGCTGTGACTCATATCAGATTTCTGCCCTAATTAAAGGATCAGGTTGATCTCTGGAGTCTCTCATTGTTGACAGTGTAAAAAACGAAGGCCTTGTTTGTTCCCATTCCTCTCTTCTTGTCACATCGTTGTCATGTGTTATTTAGGTTAGCACCTTTTCTTTCCCTCATACTGTCTATAATCACCTTGTATACGAGGTCCTGGCCTGATGTCTGTCACTGTTCCAGGTCGTGGGTCGCTGTATGTTTTGTAAGCTAATGTCACCGCGTTCTTGTCAAAGCCTTACACCCTTACACACTTCCCTTTCTCCCCGTGTTGTCCTCCTTCTGTCTCTTCCAGTCCTTTTGCTTTTTTTTCCTTTTAGTCTTTCTGTCTCCCTTTCTGTCCACCCACTCGCCTCTTAATCCCCTAAGTAATATTTCCCACAGCGACTCTCACGTACTTGGATCAAAGGCTGCCCCTCTCTTTGTCTTTTCTTCTGATTTTCCTAATTCTTGGTCAAGACTTGATGTGCCAAGGAAGGAAAGCCAATGGGCAAATTGTTTTGCACCATTGTGCTACTGTATGTCCACCGGCCTCATACGTAATAGGGCAACAGACAATGTCTGCATTTAAGTAATAATTCCAGTTTTATTTTCATAATTTTGGTATTTATTCCTTTTGCTAATGAAACACTGCAACATGATTGATAGCAGTTTATAGACCGACGTCCTGGCTCAGCTTGACCACACAGTTCTGCAAAGGCATTTAGATAATCTGGAGAAACTGTTGTAGCACGGTGACTGTTACCGAATCTACACAGCTACTTTGTTGTGCACAGTGTTATCAAAAGATTTAGTGTGATTTACACTTTCTGAGGATATCATTATCTCCCGTGTCCATCACAAGTAAACATCCACAAATCAACTGAGAAATCATCAACACTCCTTCTAACTGCACAACTTCCCTGAGAATCCGCCGATTCTTAAATGTTCTTCAGTATCACAGTAATCCAGCAGCAGTGATCTGTACAGCCCTGCGTACACTGTGAACAGGACCTGCAAATAGCTAACAACTCACTGAATCCATGGCAACATTATACTTCCTGTTTACATCCCCCAAAGCACAATAAATCTGGGTCGAGAACTCAGAGTATGATTATCCATCAGATAGAAGTAAGTAAGGCAAAGAATAATGGGAGAGATAAAAGCATGTCCTTGTTCATGGAGCAAATCTTTATTTTTCACATCACAGGGGTCTGTGTGATGGACAGACAGTGGAGACACACTGTAGCTTCTATCCTCAAGAACCTGGAGAGCAGGTTCACTGTATCTTTGGTCGACAGAACTGAATCCATTATTGGATATTCATTTTAAACATGTGGACATCAGAGGATCCAGCCTCTAATGTGGACCACAGCATGAGTCAGCAGCTCGCCCCATCGTTAGGTTATCATCGCCTGAGGTCAGACGATGCACATAGATTCCTTCAGTCAGTCGACAAGAGAGAAGAATCTTCTTTTGTTCTTGTTTATGTCACAGGATATTTTAGTTTAAGTGAATGAACATCATCCAGATCCCCAGTTCTTGGTCTGCAGACCGGTTGTGAAATATTCCAAATTTACTAAGTCAGTCTCATGTAGTAAGTTTGCTCATTATTCCATTGATTGCAGTTTGGATCTAAAAAACCATCATATTATAATTCTGCTGTAGGAATATCTCAGCGAGTGTGTAAGTGTTGATACTGCTGAAACGAAAATATTCCTTACACTGATTTAAGACATCAGGAGCAGTTTGTCTTGACAAACATTTCAGAAAGAGATTTGGTCTGTCTCCTATTTATCTTCTGTTTTCTATCTTTCTGTCCACACTGTTTACATCCTCCCTTGTTATGGTAGCCCGAGCTGTTTACCAGGAAGAGATCTGTTTTCATCATAAACAATTTCTGCCTTATCAGATGATATAGGACTGCAGAGATTGGTCAGAACAGATGAGGAGAGGATGACATGACAGGCTGGAACTTTTCAACTGCATTGGTCTGTTACTTCTAAAAAACCAACAGTGAAGAACAAATGTGAAAATATCAAAAGGAAAATGCCTCAGAATAGAAGCACAACATAAGTTGAAGTAACAGCTCTGGCTCCTGGAGGCTGTGATGATGGAGTGATAGGAAGCGGAGAGGCTACAGGACAGATGTAGAACAACACGAGTAGATTTGTACAGTGGAGGGATGATCTGTCAAATGCATGAAGGAGGAGATTAAGACTGTGAGGGAGAGAACAGATACCTTTTCTATCTCACACTGTTTCCTCCTGCATTTGTCTGTAGAAGCGTGTGTGGTTGGATGATGGAGATCGTGCCCAATGAGAGCAGATTTATTTCTCCTGCTTATTCCTTTTTGCATTTCTTCAGTTTTGAGATAAATATGAATTTACACTTCCTCTCTTCGCCTCACACAACCAGAGTCGATACACACTGTCAGCAGCTTTGCACATAAGCAAACATATAACATAGCACACAATAAATACTAGTCATGGCATTATGAGGCGGACAGGAGTCACTACTCTTTGGTCGGGTGTGGTGTGTCAGATATGAGCTTACCTGCCCCTTAGATCATAAGTTTGTTATTTCATACTGAATCTGATGCAACACTTATGTTTGTTATATTTCTGCTCTTATTTTCTCTCCTTTGTATTCAGGCTACAATGCGCCACAATTACAACTAGTAAAGCAACTGAAATCTGTAGCTGTATTTAGTATTCAGTGTCATCTGTGTAGAAAAGTGTCATCATGGAGCTACGGTGGCTGGAAGAGGTCAAACAGCCTCTCTTGTCCTCCAGTGTGAACAGAATATTGAATCTCACATGCAGCAGTTTTTGCATTTTGTTGAAGCTGCACAGTGATGCTGAAAAAGCAAAGAGCTGGTGCGGGGGCCTTTTATGTGCCTGCGCCCAGAGGCACAGCACATCTCTCATAATTCATCCATAGACTGAATATAGTTCCAGTTATGGCTGTAGAAAACTTCATTTTGAATTTCTTTAGTAACCGCAGAAAAAACATTGATGTGGTGTGACTTAATATTCTGTTTGAGTGTTTTTCTTACATGTTTGCAGAATAATTCAAATGAGTTCATGATGGTTATTGGTTCATCTGAGATATGTGTGAGAGCTTTGGATTGGACACTGATGAGTTCCTGTGTTTTGGGTGAACTGAGCTGGAGGTTGTTGTAGTGGCTACCTGCCTCTGGTAACTGTGTGTGTTGTTATTGGATAAGATGCCTATTATCTCTATGATATAATGACAGCTGCTACTGTTATAAAAGTCTGTGATTTCTTATTGAAACCTTTATTTTTGTTTCCAGTAAAGTCAGACAAGATGGAGAAGGCAGACAAGAAGGAGGAAAAGGTGGAGGATAATGTCAAGAAGGCGGACCCCTTCAGCCCTGTGGACAAAGCTGAGCAGAAGAGCGTCAAGGTTGAATTCGTAATCCCGGAGACTCCTGCTAAGGTGGAGAAGGAGACAGAGAAGGAAAAGCAGAAAGAGACAGAGAAAGAGAAGGAGAAAGAAGCGGAAAAGGTAAAAGAGGAGAAAGAAAAGGAAAAGGAGAAGGAGAAAGCAGCAGAAAAAGAGAAAGAGGGGAAAGAGGCTGAAAAAGTTAAAGAGGAGAAAGTGACAGAAAAAGTGAAGGAGGCAGACAAACCGGCAGAAAAGGTGGAGGAGATAAAGAAGGAGGCAGAAAAGGTGGAGGAGATAAAGAAAGAGGCAGAAAAGGTGGAGGAGATAAAGAAGGAGGCAGAAAAGGTGGAGGAGATAAAGAAAGAGGCAGAAAAGGTGGAGGAGATAAAGAAGGAGGCAGAAAAGGTGGAGGAGATAAAGAAAGAGGCAGAAAAGGTGGAGGAGATAAAGAAGGAGGCAGAAAAGGGGAAAGAAAAAGAGATGGAGAAAGAAGAGTCAATGCAGCAGAAGGGAGAAAAAGAGGATAAAATGAACAAGGCACAAGAATCACCAGAGAAACTGGACAAGACAGACAAAGTGGAGAAGACAGAGAAAGAAGAGAACAAAGCTGAGAAAGCAGAGAACGTGGAAAAGATGGACAAAAATGAAAAGTCCAAGGTGGAAGACAAACCAGAGAACAAAAACACTGAGACACCAGAGAAACCAGAGATGAAGGACAGCAAAGAGCAGCACATTGAGAAAGTGGAGAAGACCCCAGAGCAACAGCCAACACCCATCAACCTCGATACCAATCATGACAAGCTGGAGAAGAAGGCCGACACCGAGACAAAGGTGACGGCAGAGGTGGAAGAACCCAAGAAAGAAAAGGCTGATGCAGATACAGCCAAGAAGACCGAGAAAGAGGACGAGATGGAGAAACCGTCCGAGAAGCCTGCCGAAAAACCCACGCAGAAGAACGAGAAGGAGGAGAAGCAGGAGAAAATGCCGGCTGAGAAAAAGACTGCTGAGAAAAAGGATGACAAGAAGGACAAGGCAGCGAAGCCAGAGGGAGGAGAGAAGGCCAAAAAAGCAAAACCTGCGGCGAATGGAAGCAGCGCAACTCCCAGCAAGGACCTGGCAGCTGCAGACAAGAAGGCCAAGGTAGGATTTATCATAAGGTACAAGGATGTGATGTTTCTACAGACCAGATCACTGTGTTATGTTGTAAGACATTACAGCACAGACTCGTTTCCAGCATGAAAATCAAGGTAAGTTAAAGGCTTTCTTTATTGAAGGTGATGAGTCAGAATGAGTTTTAATTTTATTTTAAGACAGAAGGTCTGGACCAGAGTGGGATGAAATTCTAACATCTCACTCAACTCTCGCTCCAGTATACCAAACTTTTTTGAGTAAATGGTTCGTTCATCAGGGTGGAAATTGTTTCCAGTTTTTGTTAATATACAGCAGTGGTTCTCAAACTCTCCCCCCTTCTGAAGCTGAAAAAAGTTCACCCCCCACCCCCACCACCACTCACCCACCCACAATTTTTATCAGTCATTTTCCCTGGTTGTCGACACATCCCCCTGCAGAGGCTCTGCGACCCCCGGGGGGGTGCGGCCCCCCAGTTTGAGAACCACTGATATATAGTCAGATCCATCAATTCATCAATTGACTTTACAAGAGAAGTGTAAATCACAGTAATGGACAAGTTATGTGAAAGATTTCAGTCATTTTCATATCACTCATCGACAAAAAAATGACATTAATTTGCTAATTACTCGACAGCATTCATTTTTACATTAGTCACCATAATACATTCGTAACAATACATCGAGGGTGCTCCAGCGACTCCACACACAAACACACACACACACACACACACACACACACACACACACACACACACACACACACACACACACACACACACACACACAAAAACAGTTACATTTCCATTTTTCGATGCAAAACAGTAAAATGTATTAAATTCTATTTACCCTCCTTCTTCAAAACACACTATACAAATCCTTTCCATCTCATAACAGCTACACTGTCGACCTCAACACATCTAACCTGTCGACAGCACTTAGCACACTCCCTATAGGAATACACCCATATATGAACACATATTGCTTGTTTGTGTTACATTCACCTGTCTGTCAGTTTTTACATCCTAGTTAGATTATATCTCCTTTGAACTGTATTTATTTTTGTTGGAATGACAAAAATAAATTGTTTATTATTTATTTTTGTCTTTATGGTCATTTACATTTCTCTTGTAAAGCTGACGGAGGCTGAAAACATTTGGGGAATAAAGTGTGGTATACTTGACAAGAGTTGCATCACATGTTTAATTTTAAGTAACAGGAAGTGATTCCTCATGCATGCTGCTGATGCTTCTGCCACTGCTTTGTTTATATCTACTGTGTATGTTCAGTGCAAAACACCTTGACTAGAGCTATTTACAGTCATACTGTTGAATTCACAACAGATATGATGCTAATTATTATTTTTAGCACATCATTTTTTTATCATATTATTTACGATTAAATTCCTGCTTGTGCTGCTTAACCCTGCTGCCGTTATCATCCATTGTCCTTATTTTTTCTTTTCTCCATTTCCTTTGCTTTCCCTCCTTATTTTTGCCCTCCATGCATCCTGTACGTTCTGATCCTGCATCACAGCCTGCTGCCGGGGCGACCAAACCGAGCACCGCTGCCAAAATGCGGCCAAGCTCTGCGGCCGCTAGCGGTGGTCTGCCCGCAGCCCATACTAAGCGCCCCACACCCTCCACTGCCACCTCCACCTCAGACAAAAAAACAACCACAGCAAAGGCACCATCCACAACCACTGTGGGCCCAAAGCGGCCCTCCACCACTTCTACCAGCCGCCCCTCGTCATCAGCCACAACCACTGCACGAGATGTCAAACCCAAGGTAAGTGTCAGCTGTCAAAGGCTGCTGAATGCTCAGTTACACGGAACAACGCACCTGGATGCACGAAGGATTTAACAGACACTCCAGCGTCTTAGATGCTGAAAGGTCCATACGAGTCTCCTGGAAGTGTCTCAAACAGAAGCAAACTGTAGCAGGACATTTAAGAGATGGGTTTGGATAAAACTCCTCGTGTATATGGGTCTGAGTTAAGTTTGAAGGTATTCAAAATCTAAAATGTCAAGCTCAACTGTTTTCCCCTTGGTCAAAGAATTTGGCCATCTGGTCTCTGTGCCTGTTAGCATGCATAGGGTCACAGTGGTGTATTATAACACTCTGATGAGTACAGTTTCAGGGTCGGCTAGGGTACAAGCTGCATATGAAGGAAGTCTACAAGCTGGGGATGTAAGAAAACAAAAGCTGTTGTCCCCAGTGAGGGAGTCAGTGCAGTTTCTTTAATGAAGACGGAGCCAACAGCAGCTGCTGTCGCTGTCACATAAAAATGTGGCTCGACTCGGGAAGAAAGAGATGGTCCCACTCACTAATCAAGTATCCTGTTCCTACTAGCTTTTATTAATAGTTAATAAATCATGTACAAATGCTTTATAGAGCAGCTATAAGCTAATACTGAAGCTATGAATTAATTAATTAACTAACATTATTTTGGTTGCTACGTTTTAAATGTTATTCTAATGTTAATAAAGCGTTCCTAGATTTAACTTCGCAGGTTTATGCTGGAGGGGGATAAAGGGATTTTTACAGCCCAACCCAACCTGGAAATACAGTAGTATTTGATCAAAATAATGTCATTACAATGTCCATTTAGTCCCTGTTCTGGAGCTTTCAGTGCTGTCACACGATCTTCTTCGGCTTTGCTCTGTCAACTACTGTTTTCAAGGTCAAGAATGAACTTTCAGTCTAAACTTTTAAGCCAACATGGGTTAGAACTCCCTAAAGTGCCCGGTCAAAAGCTCTTACAACCTATAAAAAGCCTTCATAAAGAGCATCTTACTAGAAAGTGGTTAAAGAAATGTTATGTGGCACATTTTTTGTTAATTTTTCCCACAGTGTTTCCAGTTCTATTCCTGCTGGAGGCTTTTTTATGTTGCACTCCTCCAGTCCAGACTAGCTAGTAGCAGTAATGATGTGTGGGCCAACTTTTCCCAATAATGTACAACCTTTCTTGATGAGATCAGTGTCAGTTATTATGATCTATTAATTCATTGATTGGCCTGTGCCATGTCTTTCCGTCTTCTCTCCCCCTCTTTCGGACGCCTCCTTAACTGCAGCTAGTCTGACTCCGCAGCCGATCAAAAGAGCAGCCACTGTTTAGCCTCTAGGTGTCGAGGGCTGCAGCGTGACTCAGTGCGGCTGGGCCGGCTTGTTGCAGGATGGCTCAGCTGTATGTGGAGCGCAGCGTCATCCTGAGGGTTGTGGGGCGAAATATGCTGCTGAATGAAATGAGCAATCCTCGAGGAGCGCCGTGGACTCTAGTCCGCATGCTTCATGGATCGGGGCAAATTCTTTGACCTGAATTTTTCAGTGAAAGCATTGAACATTTGTCTGAACTGAAGACAGCACATACATATGGACATATGGAAATTATATTATGACCCGCTATAGTGCTGCAGGCATTTGTTTTGTTGACAAAGTGCACTGTTTTCCATTTATTTGTAGCTTTTACTGTTGCTAACATTACCATGAATTCCTCCTGTCTCCCTTGTTTTTCTGCATCTTCCTCTTCTTAGTCAACTCAAGAGAAGCGTCCCTCTGTGCCAAAGGCCAGCACTGCCACCTCAAATCAAACAGGCTCCACTGCTGCCACCAAAAATGGAACTGCTCCCACAGCAGCCAGTAAAACCACTACATCAGTGCGCACGACACCGTCTACTCGCACCACTGCCACCACTGCAGCCAAAAAGCCTCTGGGTAAGGCAGACATACTCACACACACACACACATACGTGCTCACACATGTTCTTGATGATGTATGAAGATTTTCCACAACAATAATCAGTATTTTTTATGTAGAATCTGAATGCAGTGCATTCAGTTTATTTACCGGTGAATTACACTAGTAGTGTTGCAGATGTTTGAGTATTGCCAGTATTTTTCTGAGCTTTATTCGCACATTCTGTCCTTTGCAACAACTGTAAACTCACCATTTGTGTTTCAGCCTCAAAGACAGACAGCAAGCCAGGAGAGGAGAAGAAGCCCAGCGCTCTGAAGACCTCTGCAGGTAACACAGTACTGCCTTCACTTGTTATTATGTGCAGAGACAGAAGACACCCGGAGGAAACACTCTGCTGTTCCCCACACATACACAAACCTACAGGACAGTATACAAAACAAAGCCAGATGAAAATTACTGGGGACAGTTTACACTATACGTATATCACGTGATCATGTGATACATATATCAATATATATATGGTGAGGGGGAAAAGTCAAAGGTTAAGGTGAGCATCTCCATGGAAACCTAGTATTAATGTTAAGTGATAAGAAGAAAGGACAAAAAAAAACAATTTAAAATGAATAAGTGATTAGATAACAACTGATAGCACAATGATCTGTCTTTCAATTTTATTATTTATTATTATTTCTAATGGATTTGACATGTAGGTACAACATACATTGTAACATGAAAAATAATAATATAAAATAGTTAAAAAGAGTTGGTTCACATAAAATCGTTTTATGCATTAATATCACACTATGTAAGGCAGTTTAATAAAAGTAAAACCTGTGAATACAGGGCTAGGCAGTAAAGTACAATCTATGCTGTTAAATAATGTAAAATCAAATCTGGTGTAATGTGCTCATTGCATTACATCGGTCAAAAGTGCTAAATGTGTAAAATGTGCAGCTTGAGTTCATCTTTAATCACAATTTGCTTCAAGATTTTAATTTTGGACAAACTTACTAATGACTTAAAGTGGATAAATATAATTATCACCCAGCTGTGTGGATACAGTGAGGTAGGAAGATTTTACAGCAGACATTGTTTCATTATCTCCAGCTACTGTCTGACCCCCGCACTGTGCTGCTCTCTCCATACATGTCTGTCTTCTTCCTTCCTCACTTTCTTCTTCAGTAATCCTTTCTCAGTTTCTTCCTCCCTTCTTTCTCTTCTTACACGGTTCCGTCTTCTCTGCTCCTGTCGACAGATTAGTTTACATCTTGGCATCAGGAGAGCTGTCAGCAGGAGTGTGACACTGCAAACACACACACTGTCCAACCATGACAATGCTGGTCAGGCTCAGATACAGAGCGAGGCTTTATTGCTGAAAGGCCCCAGAGAGTTAAAAACCTTCACCGCAGCAGTCTGTGGATTACCGTCCCCTTGCTGTTGACAGGAGTTTGCAGCTCCTGCTGATACAGCCTCGGGTTGTATAATCTGCCAGGGTTCGTATGGCAAGTCAAATTACGCTTTAGAAACATGGAGGCTAGTGGGAGGATTGCTTCAATTAAACATGTCTTAACAGGAGCTGAAGATATACCAAAGGCTCTGAGGGAGGATTGACAGCGAGACACGTGGTCCAGCTTGCTTCAGCACTCTAAAGAAAGAGCTGATATCGCAAAATGTATGTGAATGGACAGATTTTTATTGGTGCAAGTGTTGCACTGCCTCAGTGGTAAAGGATGCTAAAATGTATTCACTCATACAGGAGAAGATTTAAATAAAGGCTTTGCTGCACTCAAAATAGTTTCCCTTAAAATTATAGTTAAAGAATAAGTGCGGTGTTATTCTATACAGAAATTGAGATACTGAGATTCTGCCATTGATTTACAAAAACAGGACAGTGCTGTCAGTGAGATCCTGAAGAGCTGTGTAAGTTCAACATTAAACCAGGTCTGAATGAAAGATGATCCCCAGTGCCTGGTCTCTCACCATCTGACTCACTTTCCTCATTCATTGCTGTGTTTTTCTGGCACTCATGTCATTTATCTGTGAGGGTTGACTGTCAATCACAGACAACGTCCTTTGCGGTTTGGCTTCGGGTTTATCGTGTGTGTGTGTGTGTGTGTGTGTGTGCGCGTGTGAATACATAACACCTTTGGGTTTCTTGATTTTTGTATCATGTTGCTTTAGAGTGCAAGTCCCCAACACCTCTACTTAACCTACATAGTCCTTAACTCAATGAACATTAGTGAAGCAGAGGTTGAAGCACTGGTTCCCAACCTGTGTGTGGGCACCCATTGGTGGACTGTGAGGGCATTGCAAGTGGGCGGACAAATCATTTGCAAAATAGAACAATTTTCAAAAAGCTACAATCACATCTGTGCATTAATGTATCTGGAGTCAAGAAGTGATTAGCTTAGCTTAGCATAAAGACTTAAAGCTGCAAGAAAGCTCCTTAAAAGTTCAAAAATATGCCTATGAACACGTCTAAAGCTCAATAATTAGCACGTTGTATCTGAAACAGAAATGTAAAAATAAAAGGTTGTAGTTTTATCTGACAGAGCCAGGTCGGCTTTTTCCAACTATGAAACACTATAAAACTCCTAATAACTCTCTCTCTCTCACAGCTGACTCCACCAAGCCCAAGACCACCACCACCCGCAGCACTGGTTCCACCAATGCTGCCTCTCGCACTCGAACTACAGCAGCCAAACCGGCCACACCATCCTCCACCTCTGGCACAGTACCAGAGAAGAAGCCCCCGGTGCCCCGTGCCCCCCGGGCTGCTTCCTCAACCACAACTAGCAGCACAACCGCCACCACGAGGACCACGGCTCGCCCCGGCACGGCGTCAGGCCCCGACATCCGCAACGCCCGCTCTAAGATTGGCTCTACAGACAACATGAAGCACCAGCCTGGAGGAGGGAAGGTAGGTCCTGCTTTGGCTTCTTCTGCAGCCTTCACACCTTCACACAAGTGCCTATACTTCTGATAGCTTGAGTTTTCTGACCAGCTGCCCCTCGAGGCCTAACATGTTACTCTGACTTCCTGTGGTTCCTCACTAACTCTCTTCTTTTCAAGTTCCTCCTGCATCTCTAATGTTTGCATAAAATACAACTTTCTTACTACATCCACATCGGCAGCTACACAGCTCTCACCCTCTTAAATCTTCTGCTTTCACTTCTGTGTTTTGCTTTGGTTTTGACAGTTGTGACATATCTCTAACTCAGTCGTCTGCTTGTTTACAACCATTTCACTCATTCTTCAAGCTTCATAGAATCTTTGTTGAAACATTAAAGCATGTGTGTGTGTGGGAGAAAACAGCAGAGAAACCCTGTGTCGTAGAAGGATTCCCTGGTCTTTCTCTCTTTTAACAATTAAAATCCTTTTTTTTTTTTTACATTGTATAACATTGTACTTGCCAAAGTAACTGCTGAGAAGTCCAACACAAGTGTTCCCATAATCAGCAGCAGTTTGAGGGTATGGCCCTGATTAACTGGCAAGGGTTGACCCACCGCCTCTACCCCTCACTTGATGTCTTCTTTGCCTTGTGCATGTACGCTGTCGCCTCCAAGTGCAGTGCACACTTCAGCGTCATTTTGGAGCTGTGTTGCCAGGAGCAGTTATAAAATGTTCAGAAATACATCAATTTGTTATTTGTAAGTTGTTATTTCTGTATTTTTAAAGTTATTTTTACATTCATGACATCCCCATCGTCAGTCCCACCTACAGAGGTTTGATTGGCATGGTTGTTGTTCACAGATATAGGTAACAATACAGGATTCACCTTTGTTGACATTGAACTTCATTGATGCGAATTCCCTAAGAAATCTGATGTTAATCAAATTACCAAAACTGTCCTTGGAGTGTTTGATGGCAGTTGCCTACTTCGCTCAGTTGGTGATCAGACTGTTGCCTGTTGGACTTCTTTTTCCCGCTACATTTTCTAGACCCAGGTTTCAAGCAGCCAGAACAATCCTTCAAGTCCTTCTCTCCCTCTTAAGTTTGTGCAACCAACCATTACCAACTTTCCTCCCTTGCATCCTCGACTTCTTTTATCTCTCCACGTCCTTGCTTCCGTCCTTTCCTCTTACCTTTAACCCCACTTCTCTCTTTCTAATACACAATTCTTGGCACTTTCACCTCCTCCTCCTCTCCTTGTGTGTTGTTGTTGATGTTGACCTGGGGTGGGCTTGTCTCCCCAGATGTCATCTGCCTCTCAGAACAGGGGTGTCGCCTCCAAAGAAACGAGCCAGGGCAAAGTGAGTTCCCCTCTCCACCTCCCCACACCACCACTACATTCTCCTCTTCCTGCCCCTCTCTGTGTTTTTACATTTATTTTTACCACTTGTCATATTTTTTGTTGGGTTTTATGAAATTGAAAAACTAAGGGCAAAAGCCTGCCTGAGAATTAGTAGCCACAGGCTTTTTAGTAATAAAAGCATAACATATTTATATGCTCATCTTTTATGATTCACTCTGATTCATGAATACAGACGTGTCTCTGGAGAATTTAAAGTCATAAATACATAAATAATAAATAGTTACTTCTGCTTCTCTACTTAGCAATCTAAGTTGTTTTGAATGACCTCTATAGTATGGTTTTTCAAGCAGGAGACATGAACACAATTTACTCCCCACGAAAGCAGACGAGTCTATGGGGGCAAAAAAAAAAGTATCACATGAAATGCAATTTGAAAAGTGTGATGAGGAAACCTGTCCTCATGATTAATTAATGTTGAGGTTAGTGAGCCAAAAGGGAGAGGTTTTTGCTTCAGTTAATTCTGGGATGTAAAGCGGTTCCGGTGGTAGAAACCTGTAGCTGAAGCTCCTCTGTGTGTTCATCTTCATATACCATATACATATCTATCATGGTGTTGTTACCTACATCCCTTCAAGGTATTTACAGCCACTGCAGAGACCTTAGACTTTGTTTCTTAGATTTTAAAGTGACACGATAAACATCTTACAATAACAGCATTACAAAATACACGGTTAAAGGATACATCTGTGTAATTCTTTTGTGGTAATGCAGTGTCAATTTATCAAAATCAGTCTTAATAAAAGACATGAGTTTATGGCTGAAAACAATCAAAACATATTACAAAACATAGTATATTTTAAATAATCTTCAGATTTTTTTTAATTGGCTGGGAAAATAGTTTGTAGTAGTTTGAAAGATTATTTGATATATTTGTCTCTTACCAGTGTTTTATTCTGTAGTAGGAATCTAATTTCTGAAGTAAAGTTAGCAAATCGTTCCTAGCATAGTGGCATCCTGCCAGGTAATGAGCAACCCACACACACTAGGAAGTCCCTTGCATGGGGGTTAACTGGTTGGTGCAAGCAGGAAAGCATCGTCCCACCACTGCAGAGACTCGGGGTCAGTCCGTCAGCTGTGGTGCTTCCCCATCAAACAGAACAGGCAGTGTTCACTTTGTGGGAAGCCATTGAGGGAATATGTTCTTGTCCCTGCCATAATGACTCCTGCTGGTTAACCTTGCTGTGTGAAATGGGCTGTGGCCCACGGCTGACGAACCTGTGAGTGTGTGTGAGTGAGTGTGTGACTTTTTTTATTGAACAAATGTGCAATTTAATTTTTATTAACAATTAACTTAGGTACAAAACCTTGTGTGTTATATTTGTGTTTCATTAAAGTGTGCTCATAAACATGTACTCTGTCTCCATTAAACACATTCTGTGAGACTCCACTGTATTAACCTGAGCAGGGACACATGTTTATATGTTGTGTTATGTGTCGTGCATGTGTGTGCTTCATAGAATAGGTTCCTTCACTTTTCTCAGGTGTTGGGTAAAACAGTATTCGGATATCTTCTGGTCCTCATCACTGTTACTTTTCAAATGGCAACACAAGCGATATTTATCATTTAGGCCGGCTTAACTGCAGCAGTCGATAGCGAGCACACGTAAAATAGTTGGCCATTTTTCCCAGGTGAACCTTGCTCCCTCCCTCTGTCCTTTCTTTTCTAACCCTACCTGTGATGGTGACTTCTCCTCTACTCTCTTCTTTTTACTCTCCTCTCTTTTGTTCTTTTTTTCTTCTCCTCCCTGCTGCTCTTCTCTCCTTTCACTTCCTCTCATGGTGTCCCTGTCCCCTCCTCTGCTTTCCTCTCCCCTCTTGCTGCTATGCTGTGTCCATATAGGTTCAGGTAGTCTCCAAAAAGCTGGACTTCAGCCACGTCACCTCACGCTTGGGCTCCAAGGACAATATGAAGCATGTTCCTGGTGGAGGGAATGTAAGTACTGTCTGGCCCATGACCAGAGTTCATATGCAACGGCCGATTAGTCAAACAATTTGAATCAAACTAGGAAGAACAACAGAACCAAGGCGAAAAATTGTACTTTCAGCTCTTCTCTGAAACTTGAGCTACTCACGGCCGCCAACACAAAACGCTGCTCTTGGAGTTCAACGTTCGAATGGCGAGTTATTGGACAGCATGCTAGCAAGCCGAACGTATCAGCCCTTACCCACAACCTGCTTCACACTCCCTTGCTTCCTTAAACTCTTCCTGTGTTGTCCTGCCCTGTCACTAACTTACTAAACACCAGTCAAGCAAACAAACGCTGCTGGCCTCTGATTGGACGGTTCTGTGAGGACAGCATCACCACAGAGAGGTGAACTTGGGATGTGTGGTTGTTCTGTCCTGAGCTTCTTCTTTTGGTGTCTGAATTTTTTACCCTGCCATCTTTACAGCACATGCACCAAATTATTTCACTCCAGGAAGGTACTGTAATGCAGTTGTGATGAAACCTCTGGACGCATGTGTCATGATCTTGAAGCTGCAATTTGAATTCTCCATGTCGGTCGGTGGGTTATTGCCACAGGATGGAGGAAGTGGCAAGATACAACTCCTTCTCTTTTGTGATCACCGCTAATTCTCTGATGGTGATAATTCAAGGTGTAAATAAGACTCAAAAAATATATATATTTAAGAAATTAAATGAAATCAACTATCAAGGGACGCTCATGCCAGTATGTCCTTTAACCCTTGATCCCACCTTTTTTTTTAACACTGTTGATAAAAACAGCTTGTGTGACATTTGACAGGTGCAGATCCTCAACAAGAAGGTGGATTTGAGTAAGGTGACGTCAAAGTGCGGCTCCAAGGACAACATCAAGCACAAGCCTGGTGAGCTGGGACATGTTGTGACACTACTGTATTAATACTGTTGTTAGTAGTAGCGGTGAAGAAGGCTGTGTGTAGAAGCTGTGTCCACTTTGCACATGCTGCTGACAGCGCAAGCTTAGGTATGATCGTCAGACTGATCGCCCATGTGTGCTGCAGGTGGCGGGGACGTGAAGATCGAGTCCCACAAAGTGAACTTTAGGGAAAAGGCTCAGTCCAAAGTGGGCTCCATGGACAACGTGAGCCATTCACCTGGTGGAGGAAACATCAAGGTGAGATGACGTCACGTGTGTGCACACTGTTCCTCTGCCTGTAAACTACAAACTGTTGTTTATAGCAGGGCACTCTCTCTCTCTCTCTCTCTCTCTCTCTCTCTCTCTCTCTCTCTCTCTCTCTCTATGAGCCAGCTCATCACAATGAAGATGCTTCAGGTTTCACAGTAGTTAGCAAAGTCAGAATTCAGATTCACTCCCTAGAAACAGTCATTATGGAGCGCATTACAAAGTGTTAAATAGTCGTGTCCAATGCTAACTGCGGTTTACTGACAGTGGCACGTAGTTGAGTTAGGAGCGATGGCAACAAAGTGTGCATTGCATGACTCACCTCCATTATTATAAACATAAAATGCAGTTTAGCAAGAGTGTCCAGATGAAAGCAGTTCACTACAGCGTTATTTAGTTTAAACATTCACAGTTTAAGCATGTTCTGTGTATACAGTACTTCTACAATGGTTGTTTGTATGTTGAATGCTACAGTGTTTTTGTAAACTGCCTGACTGTTCATGATTCCCAAGCCTGAAAATACTTTAAGGAACTCTGGCCTTTAGTAATGTAATAGCTCGGCTTTATAAAGAGCAAAAGCCCCTGAAAACTTTGTTTCAAAGATTAAGATGTTCTCAAATTACATTAGACATTAATGACTAAATGAGCTACTAATAACTGTAAAAAAACAAAACAAAGAAAAAACATGTTTAGCTTTTATTTATGAAATGTTTAATGCTTACACACTCAGCTAATCTGCTTCAAAACAGTATGAGAAGATCACAGAAAAAACACTTTGGCAGAAAGAAGTCTGTTCATATAGAACCACAATACTCACAATAAGAATCAATAAAATAAAATGACAAATAATGATTAAATTATTAATGGGTGTTTAATACTGGCTGAATATCACTGACCTCCAGTGGTTAAAGTTCTCACACGGCTGCAGTGATGCAGACAGTATGCTGAGGGTGTGGTTACAGGTTCCTTCAGGTGTATCAGACTTGAAACTTTTAATTAAGATCATACTTTGTGCAGCACTCAAACACCTTGGTCTTGGCTTAAACTACCAAAAAAAAAAACTGTATTGCAGAGATGCTTTTGATACCTTTCATTAAACCATTTAACGCTGTTAGAGTGGTCGTTAGACAATGGTTGTCTGAAGGACACTGCTGCTGACTCAGTTCCTTCATTCCCCGTGTGTGTGCATGTTAATATATAAAATGTGTCAGGGAAATATTTGTGTACAGTGTGAGGAGAAAATAGTTTCAGGCTTGTCACGCTCGTCTCGTTCCGCCACTGTGTTCATAACGACACAAAAAAGATCCTGAGTGGCTTCAAGCTACAGTCACTGATGATGTTGACAGCCCGTCATAAGCCATCTGCAGCGACCTGAAACATCTCAAACCCTCCACCCCGCAACCGGTCTCCTTCCTCCTGACTCTTTGTCCTTCTGTTGTGAAATAGTTCCGGACGCTCAACTCAAGCTCAGCTCTGTCCAACACGTTTGGAGATTTAAGTTACGGGCTGGGTACTTTTATGAATGGAATGAACTTGCGAACTTGCGAAAAAAAAAAAAACAATTTTGGCAAATTTGCAAATCGATCAGATGTGATGTCACCTGTCCCCTCAGCCTACGGCAGTCCATCTGTGTTTCGTGATCACATCCTTCACTCACATCCTCATCCTCACACCCCTTCATCATCTGCACCTTCCAACGAAGTGAAGCTGCATAATCATAGGAAGAATTAAAAATAGCATTCGCATAATAACCTGTGTGAGAGAGCTATTTTTCCCAAAGAGCTTTTAGATGAGTGTCTATTTTTACGAATGATTTGATGCAGAGCTTTAGAACAACATCTCTTTATACCAAAACATTATTAGTTATTTTTCTATTCTTGCTTTTATTGGTTTGTACAGTGTTACCCTGCATCGTGTCTTTTTACTGAGCTGTGAAGGCTTGAAGAAAGACAGTATCTCCAGCTGATAGGTGTTTGTTCATGTAAAGCAGTGGTGTTTTTTTTCTTTTCCAATCCCATGAAAAGACTAAAACCAACAATGAATTTATCTTACTAACAAGTATTGTGTGTGTGTATGTGTGTGTGTGTGTGTGTGTGTGTGTGTGTGTGTGTGTGTGTGTGTGTGTGTGTGTGTGTGTGTGTGTCTACAAAGCCTGATACATCTCATTCCTCTGAGTCATAGAGCTCCATTGTTGCCCCACAAATATTGAAAACACACCATTGAAACCACATTCTTCCACTAGGTGACATGTTCATTCATTACCATGAACACACACACTGTAATTTATTCTGTCTTAATCTCACACACACCTTCCTGCTGCTAGAAATACTCAGTATGAGGATTAACCTGCCACTAAAAAAAGTTCCCAACAAATAACCAATTTCCTCTTGTTTGAGTGACATTTGCTGAAAACTACAGTGGCCAGCTGTTGTAGGAAACTACCACCCTTTTTAAAAAGCCTGTTTATTCTCTCCTTCAGTAGGAATCAGTGGACTTGTGGCTGAGTTCCCCAGACAGGGCAGGGAAGGGGGAAATGACTGAGAGATGGACAAACACATTCTTGATTTGGGTCTTTTCATGGGATTTATTGATAGTAAGAAAAATACATAATACCATAAAACACACAGCCTTGTCCTTTAGACCTTCTGGATGAATCCACTGATTGAAAAAGGGGGTGTTTTCTAGTTTGTTGAACTGTGTGTAAACTATAAAGTCATTCAGGCCTCTCTGACTGTGTATTTATCTGGGTTTTGTTCTGATATGTTTTGACATTTGCTTTTTTTTCTATTTCTAGAAGCAGCAGTGCTTGATGTCATTTTATATTTCATTCCTCCAGTGTAGAAGCATTTTTATTTCTGTTTGAGATCATACAGACGCGTTGGCAGTTTAGTTCAGGAAAACCATTTCTCCACATTTTGCACTGTGCATCTGCCTTTTTCTTCTGTGTTTCACTTTGCAATTTCTTTTTCTATCATTGCATTCATTAGGCATGTGAAATTATTCAGCTGTATGTTTCATGTATCAGTTGTATCAGTTATTATTACTTTTTTTTCCCTCATAATTCCATCTCTCCCCACCCGAGTCTGGCTCCAGATCTTTAGCAGACATGTGTCTCGCTAGAGTTACAAACACTAAACCGTTCCTGAATTATTTGGGTTAACCCTTTCACAAAAGACAGAATAAATGTAGTGATACAGATTTGGAGCCAGGTTGTTCCATCCCCATCCCCACCAATTGACACGCCCTGCTATGTGTTTCTAGGCTGAGGGGGCCCAGGAGACAACAGAGGGGAATGGGACTCCCCTGAGTGGCACCCCGGCCCCAGCCCCAGGCTCCGAGCCAGGGTTGGCTGGGAGCCCCGCTGCCCAGGAGAATGGGCTGAAGGACGGGGCTCCCTGTGATAGTGAGGTCCTCCGGGAGCCCCAGGCTCTGGACTCAAGCATCCCAGAGACAAGTAAGTTTGTGTGTGTGCCAGCCTCATCTACTGTGAGTTTAGGGTTTGATTCCCAGGAGGAGACGCACAGGGAAAAGCCAGTGATGCCCAGCGATCTGAAACATAGCATACTCTATAATAAATGTACTAACAACGTGTGGGAGTTTCTTTTTTCTCCTTGCCTGAGATAAAACTGATCGTCATGATGTGGCTGCAGTGTGAAGCTCTGTCTCTGTTTATTCTGTTTTCACGTCGTCTTCAGTCCAAAGCTCCTGATCACACTTTTGACTTCTTATCTTGCAGGCATCTAATTCTGCTATCCCTCTGCCCTTCTCATCTCAACCCCCCGCGACATCATCTCCTCCCCGTCCCCACCTTCTCCTGTCTGTATATTTTCTTTATCCCTTCTCTCCCCCCTCCCCCTCCTCTTTCCGACCTTTCTGCTGCAGATTGAGTCTTTCAAGCTCAACTTCCGCGAGAATGCTCGCTCTCGCACGGACCATGGCGCCGACATCGTCACCTGGCCAGCCCCCCAGGACAACAACAGACCCCATCCACACGGTTCTTCCTATTCTCTACACCACCACCAAAACCACCACCCGACTCCTCGCAGCATCTCCCTATTTGAATCGTTGGCTTCTGCGGGCCCTGACAGCTCCCCCTCTGCCCCCTCCTTGCTGCATCTTCAGGTGGAGGTCCAGGGGGACAGCAGCAGCTCCTCAATGGAATCTTGACCTTTTTTTGCCCCCCATCAAGCTCTGAATCCCCCTCTCATCTTAAATCAAAAGTCTTGACTTATCTGATAGTTCTGCCACTCTAGTATCAACTTCATGCCTCTTCTCTCACATCTGAGCTCATCATCACCCCCCCCCCCCAATCGTTGCCACCCCTACCCGTTTGTATTTGGCTGAAGTGACTGTATAGACTAAGCTTGGGCCTTGTCGGGAATCTATGTGAAGGGAAACGAGGCGACGGCAAGGTTTCCTCACATATTCAGTTGCGTCTTCTTCAAGCTGGCTGACCTGGAATCATTGGGTTTCACCGACAGCCTGGTGGTGGACTCTGCTCTCTCTGGCCCTGCGTGACCTCTCCTCCATCACCCCAAACAGCAGCAGCAATCAGTTTATTTGTCCCCTGAGCAGCATGGAAACCGTTCTGGACTCACCTACCTTCTGTCACACATACATACAGTAGCTTCTCTTTTCCCTTGTGACTGTAGGGGCTGTTTGTTCCCAGTAACCATTTACTCTCTGCTTCAATAACATCATAGTAATTCATATTCATGTTCATCTTCATCATCACTTCCTCTCTCGTCACCATCACTTACCATAAACAAGCTGACAAACAGAAAAGCTAGACAACAAGTAGGCTGTTTGAACCATTTTAGGCTGTTTAACTCTTTCTTCTCTGTGTTTGTGATGATGTGTTTGAGTGACAAAAACATGTGTAAAAATGAGCTTTGGTGTTCTGTTCTTATCTTATTTTCTTTCTTTCTTGAGTTTTCTCATTCTTTCCTCCTAGTATTTTGTTTTTAAAACAGGTTTTCATTTATTTATTCTATGTTACTTCCTGTATAAGCAATACAGCGATAGCACTCAGAAAAATCTTGGAAACACGCACAGGATTTGTAAAACCAAGACACATGGTGAAGAGAAAGATGATATTCAGAGGGAGGAAGAAAGTGAGGAAGGAGGGGTTGAGGGTTAGGGTGAAAAAGATGCATTTAAGGTGTGTTTTTACATTTATGGCAAAATAACAAATGACAAATATTGAAACCTGAAAGTTTTTTGAAATGCAATAGAGGATGTTAGCTGAAGTAGAGACGCTGTAACTGAGTGTGCAGACCAGAGGGAGACGAGGAAGAGAGCAAATGTCTCTGAAGTCAGAGCGGCTGCGTGTCTCGTATGTGCCTCCTGTCCTTCCTACCTGAAAACTGAAGTTAATGAGGATGATGCAGGCTCATGCCTAAAACTGCTCAGAGAAGAGTCATAGTTGGCAAAACAGATATAAAACACTATTGCTGTTTTAATGAAAAATCTGTAAATCAAGCTGTCCTGGTAGTTGTGTGTAATCACAGGTTCAGGTGTTTCTATGAGGGTAATGGTAGCATGTTGTTCAGCTGAACACAAAGCATCTCTAATAGTGTGTGTTCAGCATTTTTTCTCGTTGGAAGTATTGGCAGTGGAACGTGATGTGGCTTTATCCTCTTCTCGTGTAGCAATGTTGCCTCTAATTGCCTTTATAGTGCATGGCCAGATTATATAATATCACACCCAGAGCTGAAAGCCTATGTGCATTATGACTCAAAGTGTTGTGGTTTGGCACCATATGTATATCTCTGGGGCAGTCCTAGTCAGTTGATGTGTTGTTACTCAAATGACGACTTGTAATGGCAATGAGCAAGGAGAACTAGTTTATCATGGTCGCACTTTCACCTTTTACTGTCGTGATTTAACTCCACTGCTCCAAGCTAGGTGCAGATTGTATACAGTGACTCCATGGCTCAAACATACAGAGATGAACTACAAACAGACAGAAACGATATTTTCTGATGTTATTAGTTGAATTATCTCATTAATACATCAGTTACATTCTGCTCATCATCCACTTGCCAGCTATTACTGCATCAAGTATAGTGTTATAACAAGGGCTGGGTATTGTTTGCAGTTCTAGAGCTATTACTGATACCAAAACAATACTTAGGTCATTACCTTAGACCTGCATTCAGTGATTTTTTATCTTCTTTGTGGCAGCACAAAAAATTGTAAACACAACAATGACATGTTATCACCTTATAAAGTTGATATGGTAAACATATTAGCAAAGAATTACCTATGTACACATGTAGCAGACACATCATGTCAACATTAGCATTAATTTGGAGTCACTTTTCTCGCCACCTGGCGAAAGTCCAATATTCACTGTCCTTTTAGCTCTGTTTTCATCTCCTATCAGTGTTCACTAGCTAGCTGCTAAGTTTTACTTAAATATACGGTGACTTTATTTGAACTTTTTCGCTGAAAACGATTAACCTGCTGCATCTGAAAACATGATGATGAGAGCGGTAAGGGTGAACCAAAACAGTTCAAGTTTCTGGCTGTAAAAACCAAAACAAAGAGCTGAAAGTTAAAAGGCTCTGTGGAGCTAAGAGGAACTGCAGAGCTGAGTCATAACTCTCTGTGGGTTTGTCACTACGTTCAACCCCTTTCATATTACACACAGTTAATGAATCCATTGTTGATATAATAAAAAAAAAAAAAGTGTAATATAAAAAGAAGTGCAGCTTTAATTTGTAGGGTTTTTCTATAAAACTCATCTTTCATTTAACAGAATCAGGGGATTTGTAGAACTTTGTCAATTGCCTGCCAACAATTGACAAAATTTTGATGTAAATCTAGAACCATGTGATCAAAGAATAATTAAAAAAGAACAGGAAATATGATGTAAACTTACATAGATAACGTTACTTCCAGTTTTTGTTGTTTGCATAATCAGTGCATACAACATATCAGCCCTTGTCTAAATTAAAGAGGGTATCATGGCAAATGCTTGTCAAAAATTTAGAACAAATCTTCAGATCATTTGGATTATTGGATCTGAACTCTGTTGCTACATTGACTGCCCCCTAGATGACGTCAAACCACAAAAACACTCCTGAGGTTTTTTTTTTTATTGAAATTGTTACTTTAAGAATGATTTGTAAAGAAGCTTTGACACAACAACTAAATAGCACTTTAATGCTTTAATATATCAAAGAGAGCTCACTGTTATTGAGTGATGGTGTTTAATTAACATAAAATACCTCTCTTTGAACAAGTGATCTTAATTGACTTAATCTTGAATGAGCTGTTGCGTAATAACAGAGCAATAAACTGACTTACACTGCCATCACCTTTACTATTCAGTCATTAACAGATTCAGTCATTATTTTTGTTCTACATTGGAATCCCTTAAAATATAATTAAACAATGAAGCTAAGAAAGAAATATAATTTTTTTAAAACAGAAATGGGCAATAAATTCCAATGAATGTCGTCTGAAGGACAGAAAGTGTGACGGCTTTTCTGCCAGCGCAGGGTTGAGCATTGAATTGTTGTGTTTGTGCCACGCCTGTCACCTAGCTAAAGTTTTCCTCGTGCCTGTCCACAGCCATGTTTTAGCTTTGCTTTTACCCCAGGGTTTTTACTTACCACTTCTTCTGAGCTTGCACATGGATGTACATAGATATTTTATTGACAATGAACTCTTTATGGCCCTGAAAACAAGAACAAATCAGCAACAGCATCAAGGGGTTGATGGGTGGGTGGGGGGTTTCAAGGTTGTTCAGAACAGCTTTTATGTCCATGTACCTTTAATGATTTTAAGGGGAGGAAGTTTTATCATGACTATTATGACTATTATTCTGACTATTAGTATGACAAATTGAAAAGTTCGGCCTTTTTCATTGGAAAGAGGCCACTGAAGTGAAAGAATGTCTTTGAGATATATTGTACTAAAGACGCAACACTTTTGTATATGTATTTATCGTTGTGTTCCTGTAGCCTCATGACGGTTGTGCAGTCATGGCTGAAAGGGGTTATACTTTTGATTTGTGACAGCCAGTTTCACAAACTGCGATGTGGACTTTCTCCAAGGATGTGAGATTTGAAACCCAAATACAACACACAGAAAGTCTTTAAAATCTCATAGGAACAGGTTTTATTTAAGGTGCTGTAAGAGCAGATTGATTTAGAAATGAGCTTAATTAATTCAAGACTATTTTAACAAAATTTGTAGTGCACATTTATGCGTACACACTAATAAATCATGCCCATGAACCCAGTCTTAAGAGATGAAAATTATGTTCTGATTATCTCGTAAACTTTCAGGATACAGTGACCTCTGTAGTTTCATATGATAAGATGAATGCGACTGAAGCTAATGCACCAGAATCACGATATTGTCCATCACAGTAGACGTGGGGAATTTCTTGCTCAAGCAGGCACTAAGTTTAGAGGTCAGTGTATAGGCCTGTAATTTGGGAGTACTGCATATCAATATATATTGGCTGCTACATATTGCACTCAAGAGCAGCAACCTGCCCTGGAGAGTCACACACACCGAGACCCTAACACATCCTTGTTTGCAGTTAAGAAGACTTAAGTGTAGCTGCCAGGTTTTGGCTTGTGTAATTAATGCTCCCCAGTAATCGATCCAAGGAGCATTGTAGAGCTTCATGTACTGCTACTGTACTCATACCAGACATGTAAGTGTAACACTAGCTAATAAACACCTACTTTACCTGCAGAGCATGCTGAAAAACAATGGGATGTGTTAGGTAGACTTACTATGTCATTTGCAGAGCCTCCTCATTGTTTTTTTTTTTTGTGGTTTTTTTTTTTTCTTCTTTTTTTTTCTTTTTTCATTAATTTGAATTTTATGTTTTGGTTTGGAAAAAAAGTGTTTATTGTGATTACTTGTTAATTAGTGATGTGATTATTAAACATGAAATAAAATGGACTAAAACTCTCATTTGCATTTAACTTTCTTATGTTTTTCTGCCTTGACTTTTTTGCGTTATAGCAGCAGAAGCACGGGTGCAACTTATAACACTTATGACGACTCAGAGCCACAACACCCAGGCCCCTAGAGCTGGGACCCCTAAATGGCTTTATTAATATTATTAGTTGCGCCTGTGCTTTTCCTGCTGTTGTGTGTCGGGAAGAACGTCTATTATGACTTCCCTTATTAGGTTACATTATACTTTCTTCATTATGTAATATTCCACTCTACTGTAATGGATGTTGGCAACTGTCATCTCACGGTTGGATTATATGAAAACATGAACCAAGATGCTATAGAGCAAAGTCTGAATTCATAGAAAGTTATGTGTGTAGAAACAAAGACAAAAGCTGACCTCTAGTGGAGCCTGAAAGAAAAGGCAAGAAAGGAAAAGCTACCATGAGTTTGTAGATAATCTATATATATATCATGACAAAATGGGTTTTAAATGTCAGACTTTTTATGTCCAGCTGATTCTGTCTATTTATTTTCTTCTTTAGTTTTAAGTCAGTATTTCAGTTTTTAAGGCTTGAATAGGATTTAATGCAATGATTCTAGCTCAGAATTAGCATGCAAATCCAAAAAAGGGGTTGCACAAAACATTTGGGCCCCATACATCATGGACCCACTTACCATTTTCATACCTCTATTCAGACGCCTATAAATAACTGAATCAACAAATAAACTCATACATCTTTTGTGGTTATTAGAATTATCAGTAATCAAGACGTTCAGAGAATCTGGACAATCTGAAGCCCTCTCTCATCGTATTGTAATTACTGTATTAACACACTTATCCAGGTCTTCCATCAACTCTGAGCAAAACACAAAGATGGCGTCATCACCATGTATCAAACTTAATGATGGTTAACAGCTACCGACCACCACACTGAGATCCTCATTATATTACAGGAGCTGATGTTTATCATGCATTCTTTTTATCCTGTGAAACGTTTACAGCAGTGACTGAGTATTCATTAACATGAATACTCACACTGAGCTACACCTCTTCATCTATGCAAAAATTTTTAAATCCATGGCTGATCATGACGTTTTTATGCCTTACTATACTATGACAGTTTTATGCCTTACTATTCTATGACGTTTTTATGATGATTTTTGCCTAACTATACAATGACGGGTTTTTATGACTTACTATACTATTACATTTTTAAGCCTTGCTACACTATGACGTTTCTTATGTCGTTTTTAATGTATTACTATACTACGAAGTGTTTATGCCTTACTATACTATGACTTTAATTATGCCTTACTACAGTATCGCATGTTTTATGCATTACTATACTATGACGTTTTTATACCTTAGTATACTATCACTTTTTATGTCTTACCAGACTATGACGTTTTCATGCCTTACAATACGAATGTATTTTTATGATTTAATATGATGTTTTATGCATTAATATACTATTACATTTTTAAGCCTTACTATACAATGATGATTTTATGCCTTACTATACTGACATTTTTATGCCTTAGTATACTATGACTTTTTATGCCTTACTAGACTATGACGTTTTCATGCCTTACAATACTATGACTTTTTATGCTGTACGTTACTGTCCAAATATATTTTTATGACTTAAAATGATTTTTTTATGCCTTACTATACTATGACTTTTTATGCCTTACTCGTCTATGACTTTTTATGGCTTACTATACTATGACTTTTTTATGCCTTATTATACTATGACGATTTTATAACTAGCTATACTATGACTTTTTTATTTCTTATTATAAGATGACAATTTATGCCTTACTGTACAGTTATATTTTGATGACTTAATATGAATTTTTTATGCCTTACTATACTATGACTTTTTTATTTCTTAGTATACTATGACGTTGTTATGCCTTCCTATACTATGACGTTTTGTGCCATACTATACTATGACATTTTTATTCCTTACTATACCATGACTTTTTTGTGCCTTAATCTACTATTAAATTTTATGCCGTATTATACTTTGACATTTTTATGCCTTACAATACTATGTCGTTTTATTCCTTACCATACTATGATGTTTTTATTACCTTTGATGCCTTAATATACTATTATGTTTTTTGATGTTTTATGCCATACTATACTAAGACGTTTATTGGCATTTTTATGCCTGACTATACTGTGACATTTATTTGCATTTTCATGCCTTAATATACGATGTTGTTCTATTCCTTACCATAATATGCCTTACAATACTATTTCATTTGATGCCTTACCATACTATAACGTTTATTTGCATTTTTATTCCTTACTAAACTATGTTGTTCTATTCCTTACCATACTATGACGTTTTTATGACTTTTCATGCCTTAATATACTATGATGGTTTTTGATGTTTGATGCCATACAATACTATGACCTTTTTTGACATTTTTATGCCATACCATACTATGAAGTTTTGTGGCATTTTTATGCCATACTATACTATGACGTTCTATTCCTTACCATACTATGATGTTTTTATTACTTTTAATGCCTTAATATACTATGACGTTTTTTGATGTTTTATGCCATACTATACTATGACGTTTTTTGGCATTTTTATGCCTGACTATACTATGACGTTTATTGGCATTTTTATGCCTTACTGTACTATGTTGTTCTATTCCTTACCATGCTATGACGTTTTTATGACTTTTGATGCCTTAATATACTATGATGTTTTTTGATGTTTTATGCCATACTATACTATGACGTTTTTTGACATTTTTATGCTATACCATACTATGAAGTTTTGTGGCATTTTTATGCCTCACAATACTATTTCATTTCATGCCTTACCATTCTATGATGTTTTTATGACCTTTTATGCCTTAATATACTATGATGTTTTTTGGCCTTTTTATGCCATACTATACTATGACGTTTATTGGCATTTTCATACCTTAATTTACTATGTCGTTCTATTCCTTACCATACTATGATGTTTTTATGACCTTTTATGCCTTAATATGCTATGATGTTTTTTGATGTTTTTTGCCATACTATACTATGACGTTTTTTGGCATTTTTAAGCCAGACTATACTATGACATTTATTGGCATTTTTATGCCTTACTGTACTATGTGTTTCTATTCCTTAACATGCTATGACATTTTTAAGACTTTTCATGCCTTAATATATTATGATGTTTTTTGATGTTTTATGCCATACTATACTATGACGTTTTTTGGCATTTTTAAGCCAGACTATACTATGACATTTATTGGCATTTTTATGCCTTACTGTACTATGTGTTTCTATTCCTTAACATGCTATGACATTTTTAAGACTTTTCATGCCTTAATATATTATGATGTTTTTTGATGTTTTATGCCATACTATACTATGACGTTTTTTGGCATTTTTAAGCCAGACTATACTATGACATTTATTGGCATTTTTATGCCTTACTGTACTATGTGTTTCTATTCCTTAACATGCTATGACATTTTTAAGACTTTTCATGCCTTAATATATTATGATGTTTTTTGATGTTTTATGCCATACTATACTATGACGTTTTTTGGCATTTTTAAGCCAGACTATACTATGACATTTATTGGCATTTTTATGCCTTACTGTACTATGTGTTTCTATTCCTTAACATGCTATGACATTTTTAAGACTTTTCATGCCTTAATATATTATGATGTTTTTTGATGTTTTATGCCATACTATACTATGACGTTTTTTGGCATTTTTATGCCTGACTATACTATGACGTTTATTGGCATTTTTATGCCGTACTGTACTATGTCGTTCTATTCCTTACCATACTATGATGTTTTTATGACCTTTTATGCCTTAATATACTATGATGTTTTTTGATGTTTTATGCCATACCGTACTATGAAATTTTGTGGCATTTTTATGCTTCACAATAATATTTCATTTCATACCTTACCATTCTATGATGTTTTTATGACCTTTTATGCCTTAATATACTATGATGTTTTTTTGCCTTTTTATGCCATACTATACTATGACGTTTATTGGCATTTTCATACCTTAATTTACTATGTCGTTCTATTCCTTACCATACTATGATGTTTTTATGACCTTTTATGCCTTAATATGCTATGATGTTTTTTGATGTTTTTTGCCATACTATACTACTATGAACGTTTTTTGCATTTTATTGCCTGACTATACTATGGACGTTTATTGGCATTTTTATGCCCGTAACTGTACTAGTGTCGTTTCTACTCCTTACCAATACTAATCGATTTTTTTATGACCTTTTAATGCCCTAATATGCTATGGATTTTTTGATGTTAATGCCATACATACTATACGTTTTTGGCATTTTTATGCCTGACTATACTATGGACCGTTTTATTGGCAGATTTATTATGCGTCGACGTACCATGCTTGTTCTATCTTGCTAACGAGTATGACGTTTCATTTATGACTTTTCATGCCTTTAATATATTATGAAGTATTTGTGATGTTTTATGCATACATAGTAGACGTTTTTTTGACATTTTTATGCCATACAACTATGAAGACGTTTCTGTGGCATTTTATATGCCTCAACAATACTATTTCATTTCATGCTTAGCCATTCTATGATGTTTTTAATGCCTTAATATACTTATGGATGTTTCTTTTGAATGTTTATGCCATACAAATACTATGACGTTGTTTGACATTTTATGCTGATAACCATACTATGAAGGATTTTGGTGGCATTTTTTTATGCTTCACATAAACTATTCATTCATACCTTTACATTCTATGATGTTTTTTTATGACCTTTTTATGCCTTAATACTAACTATGATGTTTTTTGGACCTTTCATGCATACTATACTGATCGGAACGTTTATTGGCATTTTCATACCCTTAATTATACTGATGCCTCGTTCTATTCCTACGCATACGTATGATGTTTTTATGACCTGTTTAATGCCTTAATATGCTATGACTGTTTTTTGAGATGTATTT